TTTCAGAGCCTGATTTTAAATTCGATTTTCTGGGCATCGCAAAGTGCAGCGAATTGATATGTAATACCCGACTGGATTAACCTTGTGAATTGCGCTCATCTTGTCTGCGACATAACAGAGAGTCGAACGCTTCCTTGTATTTCTCCAAACAAGAATGACTTTTGTCTGATTCTGAAAGTAACACTTTGGAAAAATGGTACTGGACCAGTGGTCTGTCGTTGGCATCTGCGACAATCTTAGGGGCAATTTTTTAATTGGTTGCTCGGCACGTAGGACTTACACATTCAAATATCGCGTGTTAAATCCCAGATGAGTTTTATCGCTAAAATAACCTAAGGTAACACTGACTAAAATTTCCACCCTCAGCTATATGAGCCACATCCGATAGCGACGCACCTGCCTATCACCCATTATTCAAAAGTAACATGCAGCTTCTAACTGCTGAGTTAAACATGGTCAGCAAAGCGCTACTAAAAATTGTTTGGTGTTTGCTTTATAGAGAACGTTTGCATACCTTTTGGCTTAATGAAGCAGGCAGTAGAAAAATCACGCGTTGAGCGAAAGCTTTCCAGGTCATGCATAGATGATGAAGTTCGTCGCTGGCTCAAATCGGAACACATGTGGAGTGTGCACTTCAAATTTATCCATAAGCGTGCGATGCAAGGTCACAAATCATGTATAAAATTGACCGAACTGGATCAAAGGCGGGAGGAATCGGTGTACATTTTTGAAATTTCTGATCCCAAGGATGTTGAGAATATATTTTGCGTTAATTTTACTTAGAGTGGGTGAGTTTTTGAAGTGACGAAATCTATACCGCACACAAATATCTCACCTTATTTATCTGTTTTGAACTTGCATTTTAGTGGTAAACGTTCTTGCAAGGAGTATTCCGAAGCACGACCTGTGTATTGGTAAGATCCGATATGTTCTCTAAGTGTAGGTTGTATACATATTGTGGCTCATAAGGACACTTAAATGCGGTTTTGATCGCGTGGTAGAAATCGTTTTGGGGCCACGTCGGATGTGAGATTGTCAATCGTTAGAATTCAACTGCTCATTCGGAAACGTTTTTATTCTCAATCATGTAGTCAGACACTTTGGGGGACAGTTGATAGGTGAACTCAATATTTCAGGGTATTTCAAGCGTTGGTAGTTTTTGAACGAAAATTTCATGTTGCTCCATTGATTAGTTGAAGAATCATAATTATGGAATGATCTTGAAATCGCGATCTGTTTGGATACAATTTTGTGCCGAGCTGATATTTGTTCCTTAGCGCTAAAC